GTTCACTGAGTCGGCTATAGAAAGCCATCACGTCTTTGAACGGAAGTTGGACGCGTGGCGCATCCTGAAAAAGGCTCTTCAACAGTGAAAGCTTAGTTTTTTTTTCATGGGGATTGTAAGTCGCAGAATAAAACTCCTACTAAACCCTTCAAGGACACTTAACTATTACCAGTGCACGTTGTGCCGTTGGGCAGAAATTACGCAAAAATACGACCCGCCACTCTGAAATTTTCTGCTCTGCTGTGGTTCCCCCTACCTATCGTTTTCATGAGTTTTTCCATTTTCTTAAAACTTTTCCGGAGTTCTTACGGGTATTCTCGAGCACAACCGCCCCCACCCGCCCCCCCTAGCTTCGGATCCTTAACGTAGGACATGCCGTGACTGTAATCTCTCGAGATTCGGTGTGTTATGGGGACACCGCTCCCTACCTTGACTCAAGGACCGAGGAGGTTAAGATTTTATGGCGGCAGAGATCAATCGCAAAATCTTTTTGGATCAGGAGGGTTAGCGGCGAATGACACCTTTCTCAGAGAGGCTGAGGAATCAAAACTCAGGCACGCCAAACCTTTGCCTTCGTATTGAGATTGCCTTGCAACGGGTGTCGACGTGCAGGCATAGGAACTGAAGCGCACATGTAAAGTACCCAAAAAGTCGCCCACTTTTCATTCCGATTGCCCTCGATGGCGCTGTTCGCTCTGAGGAAGGGATTTAAAGGAGTACTTGTGCTTTGTGCTCATACTTACTTGTATTTCTCGAACTTTCGCAGGAAGCAAGGCGGACGCTCGAGCATTAGGCCCATGGGCATCCAATAGCCGAATGCGGCCCTCATTACCCGCATCCCGGGATAATGCCATTGTGCTCTAGCTCTTTCCTTCCTGGTTCTTCTTGCGCCTTTTTGTGTATTGTCGCCTCTAGCGCAAAGTACAGCATTGTTGGGGAAAATCCCATCACGAGGGGCCGTGGTAGGCAGTGAGGAGCAGTAGGGAGGGGCGAGGGCGAGGGGTCCCTAGTAATTGGAGCCTTGACAGAATCTTTTGAGAGCCGCGGGAGAAATTTTTTCGTTCTAAACACGTCGCGGTTTTTCCCTTTTCATATGTGGCTCGACTGCAGTTTTGAAATTAGAGAAGATTGTAGGTAGATTGGGGGAAGGGGGTCGTAACGGAGGAACAAGTTTGGGGGGGGGTCGTCTGTCATTGTTATTTTTCCTATCGCGACCCTGCTCTCGCGTCTTACGGTCGATATTTACCATTTCAGAGTGTGGGCTTTTGGAGATGCAGCAGCATTGTGCGCGCTAGAAGCGCATT